CCGCCCCTCGCTCTCCCCGAGGCATCGCCTGTCACCCCCGTTTGCCTCCCGCTGGACGGGAGGACGGATTTTGCCTTCTGCTCCCACCGCTCGCTCCGGGGCATGCGGCCTGGCGTGGAGAGCCCGGGCACTGGACGAGGGTGAACGGCCACCCTGCCTTGGGCGCAGGTGCACGGCCCCGCTGCCAGTCGGTGTTTCCTCGGGGCTGGTGTTTACCGAGCATCTCTCTGTTTTTCTCCGCAGCGCTGTACGCAGTGAAGGTGCGGGCCGAAGCCATGCAGAAGGCGTCGGAAGCTGTCCCCAGCGGAATGCTGTCGGTTGTTGGTCGGCGAGAGGCGAACTACAAGTTTGCCTGCTTGGAAGCCCGTAAACACTGCCAAGCGCTGGGTATAGAAGACCCCGTATGTGAAATCTCAAACTATTTGTTTCCAGACGGCAGAGTCATTGCAGGACACCTCCAGGTATTGCTTCAGAAGAACTATCCCTTCAGCCGAATTTCACATTTCATGTTTTTACACGTTTTACCTTGCACCTCTGTGTGGCACTTGTGTGCGGCCTTAGTTTGCCCAGACGAGCGTATTCGATCTGTGGGGTTTTTTTCCCAGCATGTGCTCAGTTGTTGGGCAGGGAGAGGAATCCATTCATCACGATACATCTGCCGAGGTGGTTCTTGTGGGGTGGCCGAGTAAACCTTTGTCCTGTCAGACTTACCGCTTCTCTCTCTCTTTTATAGGCTTTGGAGTTTTTGCAGGAGAATGCCCGAAAATATTATTTTACACGTACACAAATGCTTCCAGTCAGTGGGGCTTTTCATACGAGGCTTATGGAACCAGCAACAGAGCCGCTGGCTGAAGTCCTAAAATCAGTTGAGATTCAGAAACCGCTGGTCTGTGTCTATTCCAATGTCGATGGCAAGAAGTACATGCACTCCAAGCACATCCAGAAGCAGCTGGTGAAGCAGGTGGTTTCGCCTGTTATGTGGGAACAGACCATGCATTCTGTGTATGAAAGAGAGAAAGGAATAGAATTTCCCTAC